AAAAAAAAAAAAAACTCCAAAAAACAGGGTTTTAAATTTCGCACAATCACGTATACAGTACACATTTACAGTTAATGTCCTAAATATAAATTAAATATAAATGTATATATTAATATATAAAATTCACCACATTATCAGAGTGTTCGGCTCTCTACAACAACAAAAAATAAATAAAAAAATAATACTTTAAATTTAAATCAAATTAAATATATATACTATATGCACATTTATGCCCTTTAATTGTAATTTAAATATTATTAAATATATATTTATATATAATGTTTATTTAATTTAAATAATAATTAATAGATTAACTGCACAGACACCAAACCCCACCCCCAAAAAACAGCATCTTAAATTTCACACAATCAGCCCGTTATTGTCTGGCTCTCTTCATCAGTATTTACTCTGTAAACATGTAAGTGTTGGTTGTGTTACCCAGAGAGGCGTAGGAACCGGGTGGCAGCGCCGCGGCTGAGCTGAAGGGGACGGCCGGCATTCGTGATTTAACACTGGCCGCGGCGTTAACGTCCACATCGCTGCGCGAGCGCTGGAGAGAGCCGGACGAAGAGGACACGCGAGAACTCACCACTTTAGCTGAGAGAAAACCAGAGAAAATTACTGTGGTACAAACAAAAATACCCCAAAGAGACATCCAAGACCATTTGTGACCCTGGAGCACAAAACCAGTCATAAGGGTTGAGATTTATGCATCATCTGAAAGCTGAATAAATAAGCTTTCCATTGATGTATGGTTTGTTAGGATAGGACAGTATTTGGTCGAGATACAATTATTTGAAAATCTGGAATCTGAGGGTGCAAAAAAATCAGAATATTGAGAAAATCGTCTTTAAAGTTGTCCAAATGAAGTTCTTAGCAAAGCATATTACTGTAAATATAATACAGCATTACAAACTAAAACATAAAATCTAGTCATATTTAAAAAAACAAATAATAAAAATGACAAAACACAGAAATGTACTAAAACTTTAAAACTAAAATTTAAATGAAAACAGAAAACAAAAATAAAAACATTCATAATATATATAAAAATACTAATAACAGATACTAAAATAACACTGACTGTAATTTTTTGATGCCTGTTTTTTTCCCCCAAATCAGCTCATTTAGTTCTGCATTTCAGTTTTTGGCATTGAGTAAAATGTCTGTATCAGTGCAGAGATTATTTGGACATCAACAATCATGTTATAATTATTAAACAAACACATAATGACTCACTTTCTAGCGACTGATTTGGCCTCAGAGTCAGCATCGTGAACTCCTTTCTTAATGGTTTCCATCAGGACGGCGACGTGCCTGAGGAGACGAGAGGATAAAAACTGTGAGTCCATTCAGCGGCTCTGCCAAACTCCACCACAGCAGAACACGAGCTGGAATCAATCTATCGGCTGAAACCCGATTCTCCAGCCATTAACCGGGAAAGTGCTGGCGAAGGCCAGGTGACACTGCCATGGCCAACATGTGCGGGTTCATTAAGGACGTCAGCCTGACTCTGAGTGTGTTTGCGCTGATCTCATCTGTGAGACCCTTTATGAGACGGACATAGACACTAGATCCTCTCCTGAGCATCCCGATTGTCATTGTAGGTTGACATCAGGTTTCATAAATGGGGCTGGACAAGAGCTTTCCATCTGCTCAAAGTCAAGAGTAAAGCTACAAGCCATTTAAAGAAACAGTTCACCCAAAAATCACTCTCAGATTAGGATGAGTTTGTTTCTTCATCAGGTTTGGAGAAATGCAGCATTGCATCAGTGTCTCAGCAATGGATGCTCTGCAGTGAATGGGTGCCGTCAGAATGAGAGGCCAAACAGCTGATAAAAACACCACAATAATCCACAAGTAATCCACACCACTCCAGTCCATCAACTAACATCTGGAGAAGACAAAAGCTGAAACAAATCCAGCATTAAGACGTTTTTAACTTATGAACTTAAGAAATATGCAAAGATCAAGCACTGTTTACATGCAAAATCAATCTAAAACAGTTAAATATGCGACATTAACTGCTGGACTGGAGTGCTGTGGATTACTTGTGGATTATTGTGATGTTTTTATCAGCTGTTTGGACTCTCATTCTGACGGCACCCATTCACTGCAGAGCATCCATTGTTGAGACACTGATGCAATGCTACATTTCGCCAAACCTGATGAAGAGACAAACTCATCCTAATCTTGGATGGCCTAAGGGTGAGTAGTTTTTCAGCAAATTTTCATTTTTGATAATAAAATAAACCAGAACTACACCTGACAGTAACTCACTAAAATAGGTTTTCAGTAGACTATTCAGTTTTGTGAACAGGGTCAAATGATTCATTTAACAAAAATTGACTCAAAACAACCAGTTAATCTGGATGATTCAGTTTAATGAAACAGTTCAACCAAATGATTCAGTGATAATATTTAAAAAGCTGTAGCTCAGTTAATCAAATTTTAGAAAAAGACATGCAGTTCTACTAAATACAAGGAATAAAATAAAAACTTTATTTTAAAAAATTTGGAACGACATGCGGGTGAGTAAATGGTGAATTCTCACCTCTCTAGAGAATTCGTCTGCCACTCCTGAAGCAGAAGATCTAAAAACTCATAACAGCGTCTGTAAGTCAAAGAAAACATTTCCTGTTAAGATCCGAGCGATTCAGATCAGAGAGGACGTGTTATTTCACGTGTGTGTGTGTGTGTGTGTGTCTGTGCGTGCGTGTGTGCGAGTGTGTGTGTGTGTGTGTGTGTGCGCGTGTGTGTGCGAGTGTGTGTGTGTGTGTGAGAGAGAGACTCTGTGTGTGTGTGTGTTTGTGAGTGTGTGTGAGAGAGAGAGAGTGTGTGTGTGTGTGTGTGTGTGTGTGTGTGAGAGAGAGAGTGTGTGTGTGTGTTTCAAGTGTACCTTTGCATGATATAATATTTTAAATGTATTTAAATGTAAGTGTATTTAATTAACACTTACAATTCATTAATTGTATATATATATATATATATATATATATATATATTGAAATATTATAAATAATAAAAATACATGTATATGTACTATAATTAATAGTATATTTTATAAATAAAACATAATATTAATTACTTCACACACGTATACACAGTATACAAATGCTATAATTAATATTATGTTATATGTTATATATGCATTTTTATTATTTATAATATTAACAACTTAATACAAATATTCCATGTATTAATGCTGTTTAATCTCAGTTGAGTTGCTCCCGTAACAGACAAACACACAGACCAAAGCTGCGCTGCACAGCATCATTTATTTTTATGTAAAATGATTTCGACAGCATCAGGAATGGAGAATAATTCAAGTGGAAGCACTCTGGGATGTTTCTAACTGCTGTGATGTTCATCAGACCCACAAAACCTGCACTAAACACGTGCAGGACATCGGAAGAGACACAACTAACATGCAGATCAATCTTATTGATCATGTCTGCCGCTCTGAATCCAACATCACGGCTGACTGCGTGTCACATAGAACATCAGCTGCCCATATATGTGTGTGTGTGTGTGTGTGTGTGTGTGTGTGTGAGAGAGAGAGAGAGAGAGAGTGTGTGTG